GAATGAAAAATGAATTTAATGAAAAAAATTTAAGAGATAATAGTTATTTTGATATTAAAATAAAAAAGAAAAATTTACAATGTTAGATATTAAAGAATTAAATGAATATAGAAACTATAGACTCAAACAACTTCTGATATATAACAAAATTTTAAGATATATTAATAAAGAATTAATAATAGAAGAACTTGACTATGATTCATATATTTACAACCTTATAGTAAAGGAAATAAAACTCTATAATCTAAAAAATTTTATTACAAACAAAATGAACAGAAAAATTTAATCAAAGATTAAAAATTTATACTGACCTTGAAAGTAATATAAAAAAAGAAATCAAAGTTACTAAATTGAAAAATTTTAAAGACTATAATACTAAAATAAGTAATCTTGATTATTTATTCTCTTCCAAAAGAATTAAAAAATTATCCAAAAAAAGAATTCTAAGATTAAATGCTCTAAATAGATATAATGAAATTATAAATACTATATTAATAGCAAATTTCACATCTGCTCTATATTTAATACCAATACATATCGATGAGTTTAATAATAAATACTAAACAAATAATTTGAAAATAAAAATATTATTCTGAATTATTTTAACAATTTATATTTTTTTACATATAGATTTTCTATCTATTTATTTAATCATTATATTTGACATTTTTTATTCAAATCTTAAAAATAAGGACTTTTCACTAGAAAAGTATAAATTTATTTTTGACTTTTCTAATGAACGATTCTTAATAACTTTAAAAAAATTTATAATGTTTGATAATATTATTTTTTATTAATTTTTATAAAAGAAAATATACAAAAAATACTTGTAGTTTTACATTGATATTTTTAACTAAAAAAAATTATAGCTGAATAGAAGATTGTTTACTATAATTTGAGTTGCCAAAATAAAATAAATATATTGTAGTTGTTCATTGTTATTATGATAAAATGCTCTAATTGTTAATCATACAGTCTTTGAGACTATGAAATGTTTTTCTTTAAAAGTATTCTTTTGAAATAATATAATTGTCTATATATACTTTGAACGAAATTGATAAATATAAATTAAGCTGTTAACTCTATGATTATTTGGTTTCAATATAATGAATGTCCAAACTTTTTATCTTTCTGCAAGTATACAAAAATAAAATCAATATAAGTTGATAGTTATTCAACTAGTATATCTTTAATCTGATATTACTGATAGTTCTCTTGGATAAACAAACTTTTAAAGTTAGATTAAACATATCTTTTCCAGTTAATATAATAATTATTTAAATCATTGATTATATTTAGTTTACTTATTTCATATATTTTCAATCTGATATTACTGATAGTTCTCTTGGATAAACAAACTTTCAAAGTTGGATTAAACATATCTCTTCTAGTTAATATAATAACTATTTAAATCATTAATTATATTTAGTTCACTTATTTCTGATTAGTATGTATCTATAAAAATTCAGTAATTTTTTTGAGCATTATTGGTAAAAAGTTTTTAATAAATAATCTTTTTGAATAATTCCATAAAAATTTTTTTCAGAAAACTCTAAATATGAAATGTGAAATGTCTTCAAAGATCGAAATACATTATCTGTAATAAACTTTTAACAAGTTGTACTCTATATTCTATAATTTCATAATGCATACTAATATGTGATTCCTTTTGATGCAATTTTGGTTTTTTTTGATAAATATATGTGATTTTGATATAATTTTTTTTTTTAAAAAAAAAAATTTTTGCACTTTTTTATCAAAAAATATTGAAGCACAAAATATCAATAAAGAATAAATAATAATTTGTTTTGAATGTAAAGAGAAGAAAATAATAAAAAATATGAAGAATTCATAGAAAGAATATATTTATATAGAATAGTTATTGTATTCATCTTTGTATTATCATTTGAAGTAAAGACTAAAAGTTTAACATATATCTTCTGTTTCTTTGTGATTGTTTTTATGATTTTCATGTTAAAAATATTTTCTAAAAACTTGTTAAGCTCAATAAGTTATTATTTCAATCATTAATCTATTTATAAACCCGAGATCTTTGGACTCCATATGAAATATGTTTCTTGTTGGAATCATTTAAGCTCTATGTATTTTTGTTGGAATCATTATGATTTAAGAAATAAAAAAGCTCATGCTTTTGTACTTAATTTAGTTTTATTAAAAATTATGAAGTGATATAAGAAATATAATTGGTTGATTTTTTTAAAGATTTTTTATTAATAAAAATTCACGTAATTAAAAATCATTATAGATAAAATTTTGTGCAATTTCTCTTATATATGAATAAAAAATTCAGAGGAATTGATTTAATTCTTACTATGAATAAAAAATTCAGAGAAATTGATTTAATTCTTACTATGAATAAAAAATTTAGAGAATTGATTTAATTCTTACTATGAATAAAAAATTTAGAGGAATTAATTTAATTCTGCTATTTATAGATATAAGTTTTTTAGAATTCCTCGTATATAGACTCCAACTAAGAAAAAATAAAACAGTTATTTTATCACATGATTTGGATAGCTATTTTTTATTAAACAAAAAATGTTGAAGACAACAATAGACTATAAATAGTGCTGTATAGATTTAGAAGACAAATTTAGAAAAAAATTTGATAATGAACATGTTTTTGATATTGTTACTGCTGTGTTTGAAGGATGAAAAGTGATTGTGGTAGCTTTGGATTTACCAAAAAAACCTTTACCATCTATCAATATACTGACATATTATAAAAATTATCTTGTGTTGTTTGATTATATCAAAAAAATAATTTTATATGAGAAGTAATTTATATTAAACAATTTATTCTAATACAATCCATTATAAAAAAAACCAATAAACAATTTAGAAAAAATTTTGGAAAATCTGTTTTTATATACATAAATATTATTCAAATCAAAGTTTATGAAATGGAAATGAAGTTATTGAATTTGAACTTTGTAAAAAAGCTAATGGTTATTCTAGTCTGATAGATTTGTTGATAGAATATTTTTTGTATAAAAGAAGAATAACAGATAAAATAGATATCAATTTTTTAACTTTTGTCAAAGATAAAAAAGAAAGTAATAAGTTTTTCAATGAAGTTGTTAATAAAGATATATCTAAAAAAATTAAATCAAAAACAAATAAAACTTCAAATCGAAATTATTTTTATTTAGAATAAAAGAAAATAAAGTTATTATTTGATATAATCAAAACTAGAACTAATGTAAACTATATTTTTTTAAATAAAATTTTATTGTTAGTTAAAACATATTCTACTTTGATATTTTTTGAATTAATAAATTCAGAAACAATATCCTTTACTGAATTATACAAAAATTAAATTTAGAATTATCTATAACATTTTTAGTATTATCATCACTAATATCTTGGTTATAAAACTGTCTAAATTGTTTAGTTCATTTTGGTGAAACATGGTGTAATGTTTTCTTAGTCCAAAAAGAACAGTTTTAATTTTAAAAGAATTTCTTTGATTGATATAAAATAAGATATCTCTAATTTTGTTTTCTAATGAAAGATCATATTGTTGACTAGAATTTTGTTGATCATTGGGATATTGATTTCTAAGTTAAAATTATCAAGTGATTTGATGTAATATTTTTTAAAATGTGTGCATAATGATTAATATGTTGTATTTAGAACAAATGGTTGATTACATGCATATTTTAATTTTACAATTTAACTTTTTCGTTTCAATATTCTCGTTAAAAAATTGTTTTCAGAATAATGCTTCTATTTTACTTACTAATAACAAATTAAAAAACTATGAATATTTGTCTTGCTATAATAAAAGTTTGTTTTAATATTTTAAAGTTACATATAATTATATGACTAAAATAGAGTCACAACACGTGCTAACACTTGCTACCATAAAAAAAATTAAAACAAAAATTCTGATTGGTTCTGATTGAATGCGCATAATAATCGATAAATATCATATGTAAAAGCAAATAATATTGATATTTTATTGATTATATTCGTTTGTACAAATTATTTTTGATTTCTATGATTGTTTAACTATTTTTACAATACTTTTTTTGTTTCATTAGTTTCAAGTTTTCTTGCTCCAATTCAGCAATTCTATCATCTTTTACATTGATTTTCTTCTTTCGATTTTTGTTAATCTTTTTTAGCCGCTTTTCGACTTCATCACTTTCCTCATATGTTTGGATTATATTATTTTTTAAACATGTAATTCCTTTTTCATTTTTTCTTTTCTCAGCTTCTAAATATTTGATTTTATCGTTTAGAATTATTTCTGAGATTTCTAATTGCTGCTTTTTTGGAGAAGTTCTTCATGATTTTTAATGAGATCATCAATTTTTCCTTGAAATTCTATAAGTTTTTCTTTTTTTTATCAGATAATTCGAGTTCTTTTTTGGTTACGACTAAATTTTTTTGGTTGATTCAAGCTTCTTTTCAATTATGGTCAGTTTTTTCTTGGTGAATTCTAGTTTTTTTTTAGTTATAATAAGTTTTTTGTTGATGAATTCGAGTTTCTTTTCAGTTACAGCAAGATTGGTCTGAAGCTTATCTTTTTTTTTCTTGTTTACTACATTAAGCTATACAATAGTTAATTAGAAAGATTTTTAATTGTTAATCAAATCTTAACTTACTTTTTCATATGTTTTATGTAGTACATTAATGTATGATTCATGTACTGTCTCTCAGACCTTGTTGACAGTATTTATGTTATGTTTTTAGATGTTGTTAGTGTTCTATTTAATAAATCTTTTTTAATAAAATTTTAAATACATAAAAATTAACTGATGAATGCTATCTGTTACCAATATAAAAAACATGCTAAATAGAGTTAATGTGGCAGAAATTGCTATAAAATGCCAATTTTTTTTTAATGTTATTTTTTAATTCTGATCATTGTTACTTTTGATATATATATTGATGTTAAGATGTTGTAAGTGTGATTGGTGGATGTGTGGTTCGTTTAGCAGAGATTTTATGTTTAAATTTACTTATGAATTTTAGAAAGAATGAGAAACTAGATCAGTTGAAGGTTGAATTGGACGATTAAATGTATTATCTGTCTCTACTTGTTCATCTATATGAGCGTTAGTTATTTGATTATTACTTTTTATACGTGAATGATCTAATGATCTTAATTGTTTGTCTTCAAACGTGTATGAATCTAATATAAATATTGAGCTGTTGCTCAAAGAAATATTATTAATATTGATAATATTATAGTCAGCATTTTTAGCCTCTCCATTAGTATAGATTTGTGTGGCTATATAAAACTTGTTTATAAAATTATTTTTGTCTTTAATAATTCTGAGTAGATTGTGAACTTTTGATTGATTTGAGAAGGAAACACCTCACATCAAAAAACTTGGAAATTTTGATTTGTATATTTCATAATCGATATTTGATAGAATAATATTTGGTATTTCATATTTTCTAAATACATATGATGAGATATTATTAGATATTAAAAAAGTCAAATAAACGGATGAACGGATGCCCTTTGTAAATCTAATATTTATATTTGAAAATTCGTGTGATTTTTTTACAGATCTTTAATTGAATTCATATATATCTCTGTTAATACTATGTATGAGTTTGCCTGCTTCTTTTGATCTAACTCACACCCTTTTTAAATGTGTAAAATAAACTTTTCAGGTAGCTTCAGAACTGCATGTTTCTTTAAAAAAAGATTGAATATTTGAATTTTCCATAAAGATTATATAATTGGCGGTCTTTTCTATATTTAGTTTGTTAAGAGATGAACTTAATAGATCAGTTATTAGATTGATAATTTGATAGAATATACTATTATCACGAACTTTCTGTATTTATTTATCAATAGAGAATGATGTAAGAAACAAGTTATTTGGAATCTTGTAAAAGAACTTTTTTCGTGACCTTATAAGGTAAATACCAATATGGGCTTATTTATATCATGATAAAACTTGTTCAAGGGGTTTCAATCTTTTTTTAGAGCTCACAATAAAGGTAACTTAAGTATTAGGAGAATGTATCATATTAAGCAGTAAAATAAGAAAAAGGTTTTATTCAGTCAATAGATTCATTTCACTAAAAATTTTATTTATTTAACAAAAAAAATTATACGATAAGTTCTCACAAAGAAATTATAGCATTATGCTTCAAAAATATTAATAGATTTGTCTATCGTAACATGTTAAAGATATTTACAACACCTCATTACCTGTAGTAAAGTATGAATAAGAATCAGAATAAGGACATACATTATTTAAAGAAGAGTTTTACGGTTTAATGAACAACAAAATTTAACATAAAATTTCTACAAAGAAAAAATCAATTAAGCCACCAAAATTCAATCATTATAATCATTTTCAGTTTACTTCATTTTCTTTTCTGTATGATAACAATTTCAATTTTAAGCCCCTATTTTCATTTAGTAATTTAATAATTTTTTTTCGAAGATTTACCACCAATTGATATTCATCATTACATTCAAGACAAGCATCTTCCTATTTCTGTTTAAAACTTTAGCTTTTTTCTTGTTCTTGTTTTAGTTTGGTTTCTAATCCATTATGATAATAGTTTTTTTCATAGTATAACTACAAATAAAAAATATAAATATAAATATAAATATAATCAAATATTATATTATATAATAAGTAATAACATGAATAAAACACAACTCTTCCCAATGATCACTTGTACCAACCAGTCTCCAAAAGCAAGTTGAAGACTCAAGATCAGAAGTGAACAAATAACTTGAAGTCTTCTTACTACAAACTATTGTCGACGAAGTTTTAAACGTGATATACCGAGAAGTAGGCGTTTTGGATGGTTTGCAAAGGGTTTAAGCCTTTTTTCTATCTTCTAGAGGTGAACTCCCTTTTGTGTTCAGCATCCAAACCGGAGAAGTCTCTGGAAACAGCAAGTAGAAGGAAAACTCAAGTTATTTTGGGAACAGAAGGCTATGAAGAACTCTTGGAACAACACTTTTTGGTTGGAAAACTCGCAAAACTATACTTTTCGTCTACCATTTTCTTTTTTCATTTTTTTTCGACAAAAAGTAGGGAATTTGGCTACCCTCTCCAAAAGATCGGCATTGTTTACATTTCCATTTTTGGAAGATCTCGAGTTATGATATGACAAATGAGGAACACAGCAATCATGTGTGAGGAGGAAGTTCTATTTGGTTTAAATCAAAGTACGTGGAAGTCCCGTGTTGGATTGGCTATGACTGTACAGGAATGAAAACCCTATGCGATGGACCCGAGGGAGTAGCTTCCAATGATGCCGGTAGACCATACATCAGCAAAATTTAAAAAGTGCTATATATTGATAGTAATCCCCTAGATTACAATCGATATACAACCCCCTTGCCGATTATTATCGTTAGTGATTACTAACGATATATAACAAAAAATTTATTAAATTTTTTTAAAATTTAACATTAATTTTCTCAATAACTATCAATCCAAATCAGCTCAAATTTTTACCACATATAGTATATATATTCAACTATAATATAGTAAAATTTCA